GGTGGTGAATCCTGTGAACAGTCCTATCTGACCAAGTGATGGTGAGTAGATCTGTGAGACAGTCTATCAGCCCAAGTGATGGTGGTAGATCTATGGAATGATCTATCAGCCCAAGTGATGGTGGTAGATCTGTGGAGACAGTCTGCCAGCCCAAGTAGTGGTAGATCTGCTGGAACAGTTTATCAGCCAAGTGATGGTGGTAGATCTGTGGAACGATCTATCTGGCCCAAGTGATGGTGGTAGATCTATGGAACAGTCTACCATCTCAGTGATGGTGGTAGATCTATGGAGACAGTCTACCAAGCAAGTGATGGTGGTGAATCTGTAAGACAGTCTCCCAGCCAGAAGTGATGAGTGGTAGATCCATGGGTGGTCTCATCAGCACAGTGATGGTGAAGCTTAGATCTATGGAACAATCAGCCCAAGTGATGGTGGTATTTCTATGGGACAGTCTACCAGCTCAAGTGATGGTAGATCTATAGGAACGATCTGGCCCAAGTAATGGTGGTAGATCTATGGAACAGTCTATCAAGCCAGAAGTGATGGTGGTAGATCTATGGAACAGTCCTATCAGCCCAGAAGTGGTGGTGGTAGATCTGTAGAGTTGATCTACCACCTCAAGTGATGATGGTAGATCTATGAAACGATCTACCAGCCCAAGTGATGGTGGTAGACCTGGAACAGTCTACCAGCCCCAGTGATGGTGGTAGATCTATTGAACAGTCTCTACCAGCCCAAGTGATGGTGGTAGATCTGTGAACCTGCCAGCCCAGCTGATGGTGGTAGACCACCATGGAACAGTCTGCAGCCCAAGTGATGAGTGGTGAGCCTGTGGAACAGTCCTGCCAACCCCAGAAGTGATGGTGAGTAGATCTATGGAACAGTCTACCAGTTCAAAAAAGAGTGATGGTGGTAGATCTATGGACAGTGTCCTACCCAGCCCAGAAGTGATGGTGTTAGACCTATGGAACAGTCTACCAGCCCAGTGATGAGTGGTAGATCTATGGAACAGTCTATCAGCCCAAGTGATGGTGGTAGATCTATGGAACTTGATCCTGCAAGCTCCAGTGATGGTAGATCTATGGAACAGTCTATCAGCCCAAGTGATGGTGGTAGATCTATGGAACGGTCCTGCCTGCTCCAAGTAGTGTGGTAGATCTATGGAACAGTCTACCAGCCCAGAGTGGTGGTAGATCTATGGAACAGTCTACCAGCTCAAGTGATGAGTGGTAGATCTATGGAACGTCTATCAGCCCAAGTGATGGTGGTAGATGTTCTATGGAACAGTCTACCAGCCCAAGTGATGGTAGTAGATCTATGGAACAGTTTACCAGCCCAAGAAGTGATGGTGGTAGATCTATGGAACAGTCTATCGACCCAAGTGATGGTGGTAGATCTATGGAACAGTTTATCTGGCCCAAGTGATGGTGGTAGATCTGGAACGATACCACCTGCCCAAGTGATGGTGGTAGATCTATGGAACAGTCTACCAGCCCAAGTGATGATGAGTAGATCTATGGAACAGTCTACCAGCCCTAGTGATGATGGTAGATCTATGGAGACAGTCTGCCAGCCCAGAGTGACAGTGGTAGACCTATGGAACAGTCTACCAGCCCAGAGTGATGGTGGGTGATCTGTGGAACAGTCTGCCAGCCCAAGTGATGGTGGTAGATCTGTATGGAACAGTCTGCCAGCCCAAGTGATGGTAGTAGATCCTACGGAACAGTCTACTGGCTCAGTGATGGTGATCCAGTCTACTGATCCATCAATCTGTGGGACGATCTGCCAGCTCAAAGTGGTGGTGAGATCTATGGAACAGTCTATCGGCCCAGTGGTGGTAGATCTGTGGAACAGTCTACTGCTCAAGTGATGGTAGTAGTCTATGGGACAGTCTGCCAGCCCAAGTGATGGTGGTAGTCTGTGGAGACGATCTGCCAGCTCAAGTGATGGTGGTAGTCTATGGACAGTCTATCAGCCCAGAAGTGATGGTGGTGGCTCTGTGGAATAGTCTACCAGCCCAAGTGATGGTAGTAGATCTATGGATCAGTTTACCAGCAAGTGATGGTGAGTAGATCTGCGGGCAGATCTATCAAGACCAAGTGATGGTGGTAGATCTATGGAACAGTTTATCAGCCCAATGGTGGTGGTAGATCTATGGAACAATCTACCAGCCCAGAAAGTGATAGTGGTAGATCTATGAACAGTCTACCAGCCCAGAAGTGATGGTGGTAGATCTATGGAACAGTCTACCAGCCCTAGTGATGGTAGATCCTGTGGAGACAGTCTATCAGCCCAAGTGATGGTGGTAGATCTATGGAACAGTCTATCAGCCCAAGTGATGGTGGTAGATATATGGAACAGTCTACCAGCTCAAGTGATAGTGGTAGATCTATGGAACAGTCTATCAGCCCAAGTGAGTAATTGGTGAATCTGTGGACAGTCTATCAGCCCAAGAGTGATGGTGGTAGATCATAGACAGTCTACCATCTCAGAGTATAGTGGTAGATTTATGGAACAGTCTACCAGCCCAGAAGTGATGGTGGTAGATCTATGGAACAGTCTATCAGCCCAAGTGATAGTGGTAGATCTATGGAACAGTCTATCCCAGCCCAAGTGATGGTGATAGATCATGGAACAGTCTGGCCAAGTGATGGTGGTAGATCTATGGATCAGTTTACCCAGCCCAAGTGATAATTGGTAGATCTATGGAGACAGTCCTATCAGACCAGTGATGGTGGTAGATCTATGGAACAGTTTATCAGCCCAAGTGATGGTGGTAGATCTGTAAGACAAATCTACCAGCCCAAGTGATAGTGGTAGTAGATCTATGAGACAGTCTACCAGCCCAAGTGATAGTGGTGAATCTGTAAGAGCAGTCTACCAGCCCTAATCGTATTAGGTAAGAATCTGGAACAGTCTATCAGCCCAAGTGATGGTGGTAGATCTATGGAACAGAGTCTATCAGCCCAAGTGATGGTGGTAGATCTATGGAACGAATTCTGCCATCTCAGAAGTGATGAGGTGAGGTAGATCTGTGGAACAGTCTACCAGCCCAAGTGATGGTGAGAGTAGATCTATGGAACAGCAGTCTATCAGCCCAAGTGATGGTAGTAGATCTATGGAACAGTCTACTGGCCCAAGTGATGATGGTAGATCTATGGAACAGATCTACTGGCCCAGAAGTCAGTGGTAGATCTATGGAAAAGTCTGCCAGTTCAAGTGATGATGGTAGATCTATGGAACAGTCTACTGGCCAAGTGATGGTGTTAGACCCTGTATGGAACAGTCTACCAGCCCAAGTGATGGTGGTAGATCTATGGAACAGTCTACCAGTCAAGTATTAATTGGTAGATTTATGGAACAGTCTATCAGCCCAAGTGATGGTGGTAGATCTATGGAACAGTCTACCAGCTCACGTGATGGAGTGAAGCCAGATCTATGGAGACAGTCTACCAGCTCAAGTGATGAGTAATAGTAGATCTATGAGACAGTCTACCAGCTCAAGTGATGGTGGTAGATCTGTGGAACAGTCTACCAGCCCAGAAGTCATGGTGGTAGATCTATGGAACAGTCTATCAGCCCAAGTGATGGTGGTAGTCTATGGAACAGTCTACCAGCCTAGTGATGATGAAGGTAGATCTATGGAGACAGTCTATCAGCCCAAGTGATGTGGTAGATCTGTGGGACAGTCTATCAGCCCAAGTGATGGTGGTGAATGCCAACCAGAACAGTCTACCAGCTCTCAAGTGATGAGTGTAGATCTATGGAAC